CTCACTGGATTTGGATATATGTCTTCAGTCCTGAGATACGTATTTCTATTTTGTGGACACCGAGTACTGCGTTTTGACAAGAAAATTTGTCAAGATTTCTATTCACATGTTAGGGTTGCGAAAGCCAAAACACCCTTTTTATCATCTTTACAACTTGTTAAACTTAGGCTAAAGTTTCAATGACATATCGAGGGACTTTAGACCAACGATGACATCATTGAGAGGACCCCATCCCCTTTATGCCTTTTTAAACCGATTTCTTCTCATGACGTGACATCACCCAGAACATCTTTACTTGTAAAAGTGTTCTACAATTGCAAAGGATCAATCAAGATTCTTTAACGCGTTAAGAATAGAAAATACTTTTTTCTAACCTTAATAGCTATGTGTCTTAAGCACTTAGCGAATCAAAGACCGTTTCGACATCCCAAAACATTCCTGAAAGATTCTCGGTTCTTTAAGAACTTCGCTGAATAAGTCTCGGATCTATTTCCTTGACTACTTTGATCCTCGTCTATTCTAGACTTGATCAAGGTGGGGGCTAACTGTAGACATCTACTTTTAGCCTCATGTCTCGACAGGAAGTGCAATGACGATAAATAAAACCATCTTCGTGTTGGATTAACATGAAGAACACTTATGGATAACTGATTGAATCACAAGAACATAAGAATAAACTAGCCTAACTCAAAACAAATGCATTAAGGTCCAAACAACTAATCCCGATCATAATTAGGCTTAAGCCCGAGCTTAAAACCTAAAAATGACGGATTTAGAGGCGCTTAGGTAAAATCAATGCTACCGCAGAGAAATCCGCGCGCATCTCAATGAGTCGCGCTGGTCTGGCACGCGCAAGTAAAAAGGTTGTGCGTAACACCTTACGCGACGACTAGTGATGCGCTTGCGGAAGATTTAGAATTTCATAAAAATATAAAATCGAATCTTACCATAATAACGCTCGCAAGACAATCAGTTGCGTTGCTTATGGCAGGGCAACCAATCTACTTGCGCAGGGCTGTCGCGCGCAACATATTCAGATGCGCGCGACACCTGTTACGGCAGAATGTTCAAAACCTAACTACGGGTGGAGGCTAGGTCGTTGGACTAATCTTCCCTATGGAAAAAAAATTTTATATCAATCAACACACCCTTATAACTATTATAGGGGTAAGTCAAGGGTCGAACAACTAGGAATGGGACGTGGTCACTATTGCTAGAGTTAGGCTATTTCGAAGAGGTAAAGTAAGGTGTGTGTACTCTAAAACAACTAAGAGAACGAGATTAAAACCAAATATATCAAACACTAGGGTTTAGGATCCACATATACATTCAATGAATACAACTAATTGGGATTGGAATTGACTACGTTGAGTGTTGTGAGGGAAAATCAATTAGGCAATCAAGAGAGTATGATAAGATATTCTCCAAGAGGACAAACTAGCATCAAGTACAAGAGACTCTAGCTAGGGACTTTACAAACCAACTCAATCGAGAAATGCAAGCCACAAATCAAATGTCCATATCAATGTGAACTTACAATGAAATCTAGTGCAACAATCAAAGTTAGCTACTCTTCAATCAATCACACACATGCACATAATCAATCAACCAATTTAATCACTACATCAACTCCATCAATTTCCCCCAATTAGCATCAATCCATTACTCATATATGCTTCACCATCACCCTAGCAAGTAAACGACTCACAATCCATGGAAATTAAGATCAACACTAAGCTAAATAACAAATTCATCATCAACATATTAATCAAACTAAAATCAATCACAAATCAATCAAACTTGAACAATTAACAAAGCAATTGAAATCAAAAGCTAAAGATTGCATTTAAGTAAAAGAAATCCTTACAAACTTGCTTCAAATCAATGGAGAAAATGCTTAGAATCATCAATCTTCAATCACCAATCAAGAATTTCTCTCTCTATAAACTAGAGTTTCTCTCTCTACAAAATGATCTAAAATTTCTACTCTAATTCTTTTACCTCTAAGAAAATCTAACCTAATTCTAAAACTAACTCTTCTTTCTCTAAAAATAGAAGAAAAATCTATATATAGTAAAACAAACAAAAAGAAGGAAGTTAGATCGTCCAAAGAGACATGTACTGGCGCGACCATCACTAAGGGGGAGCGCGGCCGCACAAAATTGGGTACGGAATAGAGACCTAGAGAGGCGCGGCCTTGCCACCAGGCTGCGCGGCCGCGCCATGGTCGCGCGCGCCCGCGCCTAGGTGCAGGGCAGCCTCCTTCACCTTCGACTTTGTTCTTCCTCGCGCACTCCACTTGATGATGTTGATGAACACAGAAGGAGGAAGTTTTTGAATAGCCTTCACGTTGGGTTCAACACCAAGAATGATGCCCCTACCGCTTGAATACACGAGCTAGAAGACTTAGACTTTACACTCCTTCAAACTTGAACATCAAATGGTAGGAAAGAGGCATCTCAAACTATGTAAAACTTAGGAAGGAGACTCGGGAATCCTCGGATTATGATCATAAACTAAAAATGAACGATAACAAGCAAATAAAAGAGAAAATAACAAAATAAACCAAGAAATGCATAAATATATAAAATCAACTAAGAAAATGCAAACTAAGTAAATAAAGAGTAAAACTAAGGAAAAACTAAAGAATAGAGCTATAAAATAGCATGAATTCATCCCTAAAGAGAACCAAATGAGTGCCATAAATGACACTCATCAAATTCCCTCAAGCTAAACTTTTTCTCGTCCTCGAGCAAAACAAAGCAAGAAAGAATAAGGATGAAAGACTTATTGAAAAAGAAAAAGAAAGACATAAGATGGGAATATACACTAAGACTCACTAATGTAGGAGTCACGGTTGTTTTTAGCTACACCAAGCCCTTTAAACCACAAAGCGCCTATGAGGATGAGTGAGGTCTTGTTAAGATTTACTAAGATCTTAACCTATAACTCTCCACCAACATACATGAGGCAAACCATAAAAACTAAAAGAAAAAGAAGAAATCCGCATTCGGATTGAAATCCAAAGCCACATTGAACTCGGTCAAGGACATGACATGAACATCATTGAAAAGATGGAAGGTGAACTCATATTCTTTATCACCATTAGGAGTCACACTCAAAGAAGCCAAGAACTCCCAAATAGGCTCAATGTAGGTCCGGTAGCTCTTAGTAGCATGCATTCCAAATCCAAGAATATTAAGTAGAACCCATAAATCATCATCAGTCCCCAACTTTATCATACTAAATTGATGGTAATGCCGAGAGGGACTATAGGCTCTCTTTTGGTAGTTTTGCCAAGTAGGCTTATTAGATTTGACAACGAAACGAATTTTAGGAATAGGAAGGGGTTCAAGGTTTTGTGATTGAGGAGAAGATGTGTTTTAGGGTGATGGTTCCTCTATGGAAATGTTTGTTTTTCTTTTTTTGGTTTTGGAGGTGATGACTTTCAAGTATTTAGACATGATGATTCACCAAATAATCACAACCAAATCACAAATTTAACTTCTTCAACACTCCAAACCATAAATCACACCTTGGTTCAGTCGACCAACTTCAATCACAACCAAACTACCAAAAACCAACTTCACCATCACAACAAATATGCTCAAATATGCTACAAAACATCAAACAACACAATGTAAGCTATTATCAATCAACAAACAACACAAATAATCATCCAAAATTCAATATCAATCATCAAAATCACCATAATTCATATTACTACTATTCACAACCATGAACAATCTAATACTTGCAACTTTTTGATATAATAATGCAATTTAGAGTAAAAGAATATGATTATACCATACAAGGAGCAAGATTGAACAATTTTTGGCCATCAATTCCCTCAAGAACGAAAAAATCCCAAATTGCTTCAACAATGGATGAAAGTAATGTGATTTTTTTTTTAAAATGATGAAAATGTAGGAAAATTTTTATGATTTTTGATGAAATTTGAAGGAGTAGATGATGAAATTGAATGAGTATAGGTTAGGGTTTGTGCAGTTTAGAGTGGGAAAGGGGTTCGCTCGAGCTATGATAGGGAGGAAGGAGAAATAAGGAAAAGAAAGGAAAAAGAATAAGAAAAGGGGTCACCACACAGGGGTGCATGGCCGCGCACCCTGGCAACGCGCCCGTGCCAGTGTCGCGAGCGCCCGTGCCTCTGAGCTTTCCTGTTCTCTTGGTTTCCTTGGTGCGTTCACGTGTGGGATCTTCGTTCAATATCATCCCAGGTCTATTGAACCCACCAAATATGGAAGTTTCAAAACATATTGACAGTGGGTTCAACATCCTAAAATAATGATAGCACCACAATGAACCCACTAAGTTCAAGCATTCTTCAAATATAAGCACAATTTTTCCTATCTTACCTCACTAACATTTCTTACCCTTTTACTTCAAAATTCGATAAAATCGAATATAATCACATAAAAAACCGCAAAGTACCTTTCAATTGCTCATGCTCACTTGAATTAATCCAAATCCATGAATTCACCCTATAAATCCAAAAGAAAAACAAGTGAAAGAAAAGAAAATAAAAGAAAGAACATTAAGAAAAAGAAATCAAAAGAAAAGGTTAGAAATCTCCGGGTTGCCTCCCGGGAAGCGCTTGCTTATTGTCCTAAGCTCGACCCTTCCTCCAAATCATGGAGGGTCAAAGAACATCACCTTATTCAAAGTGGTGGAAGGCACAAATTCCTCTTCAATAATTAGCAACTTCTCATTGTTGCTTGATAAAAATCCGTTTGATTGGACTTCTAAAGCAAGCCTCTCTTGCTTCAACTTCATTCTCATTCTCTTCTTTCTAGAAGTTCTCGCTTTCTTCTTAATCTTGTTCCTTTTTTTTAGATAGTTTCATACCATCCACATCCATGGAATCATCCTCCTCCTCTTTAGGGCAAAGCTCAAACCAATGCAAAATGTCAATTACCTCTTTGTCCATAGCCTTTGAAATTAAAGCTCATTTTTCTCTTCACTAACTTTCATGCAATCAAAACTCACAAGCACATCATCAAAAATCTCATGAAAATCATTAGTTGAAAATTAATCACACACACATTATCAATGGAGCGAGGGGAATTAACACACATGATTCCTTTCACAAGGGACAAAGACTCATGCATCAGTTTTAACTCACAACTTTCCTCATTATTACCAACTCTCAAAGTAATACGACCTCCCTTAACATCTATCAAAGCTCCTGAAGTAGCTAAAAAGGGTCTTCCTAAAATGATAGGAATGTGGTCATCTTCTGCAATCTCTAACACAGTGAAATCAACGGGGATAGTGAATTCTCCTATCCTGAGGGGAACATCCTCAACTCTACCTTTAGGAAACTTAATAGAATGGTCAGCCAATTGAAGGGTCATGTTGGTTGGAAGGAGCTCACCTATCGTAAGTCTCTTGCAAACGGAATAGGGAATGATGCTAGCACCAAGATCACAAAGGGCATTTTGGAATAATTTCCCTTTAATATTGCAAGGGATGGAGAAATTTCCGGGATCTTTCATCTTTGGGGGAAAGTCATTATGGATAAAGGCACTACAACACTCCCCCAAACTCATCGATTCCACCATGTTGCAATCTCTCTTACAGCTCAAGATTTCCTCAAGAAATTTAGAATAGTTAGGCATTTGTTTCAAGACTTCGGTGAAAGGAATAGAAAGATGAATTTTCTTAAGCATCTCAATGAATTGCCCAAATTGTTCATCCAATTTGTGCCTATTGAATTTTTTGGGGTAAGGAAGTTTGGGTTTGTAGACTTCTTTTTCTTTCTCTTTCACCTTCTCAACTTGTTCCTTAGCAACTTCCTCAACCAAAGGGCTCTCATCTCCCTCATTCTCAATTGGACTCTCTTTCGCATCACTCTTCTTAGAAACCTCACTCTCAAGGACCCTACCACTCCTAGTGGTGATAGAACAAGCCGGTTCCTTAGGATCAAGTCCTTGTGAAGGTATAGAAGAAAGGGTAGCATGCTTTTTCGAGGTGATGGCTAGTTGAATGATTTGGGTCTCATGCATCTTTCTATAAGTTAACATGTCATGAAACATTTTGTTACTAGACGATATGTAATCATTCAATTTATCATTCTCTAATCTACTCATATAAAGAGATAGTTGATCATAGGAATTATCACCTTGCCCTTAGGTCTTTGGAGTAAATTTGGGCGAGGGACCTCTTTGAGCATTGTTGTAAAAATTTCCCCTACTTTGGTTACTCTAATTACCCATACCTTGATTTTGGCAAAAAATTTTATTATGGTTACCATAACCTTGGTTATGATCCCCATATACTTGGCCGTGACTTATCATTATAACCATAGTTGTTATGGTTACCACGAAACCCTTGGGTTACTTGGTTCCTATAACCACTATTTTGGTTATAACTATCATAGCTCTCATGGTTGTGATAATTCCTATTCCCAATATTATTTTGAATATTGAATCTAGGTCCAAAATCATTATTATCAACATAATTCACATGCTCATTCTCATTTCCATCATATTCATCACATCCATAACAAGTAACATTGGGGCAATTAGAAGCATCATGATCATTCTTTCCACATAAATCACGAACATTCTCTAATCATGCAACAAGAAGCGAAAAGAGGGTTAGAGTAAGAAGATGTACCTCTCCTCGGAAATCGGGAGGGAAGAGTTTGTGCTTGTGAAGAAGCATTCTCAAGCTTAGACTTGATAGAAACCACCTCTCTTCCTAAGCCCGAAATTAGTGTGGACAAATTGTTGATAGTGTTGAGTTGATCAAAGGAGCCATTTTCGCTTGTCGACTCTATCTCAACTTCTTGCAATTCCATGTAGTTCCTCACTACATCATCTATCACATCCACAACCTCTTCCATCGTCTTGTTCATGATTGGGCCTCTGGCTGCGGCATCAAGATTTGACCTCTCTCGAGGACTCAAACCACCATAAAAAATATGAGTGATTTGGTAAGTCAGATTTCCATGGTGAGAACACTCTCTTTGATAATCATTGTACCTCTCCCATGCTTCATAGAGGATTTCACTAGTCCTTTGCTTGAAACTTTAAATCAAAGCTCTAGTTTCTGCCGTTTTCTTTTGAGGGAAGAAACGGGAAAGAAATTTCTTGGTGACTACATCCCAAGTTCTTAAGGAATTAGGCCTCACTTCCTTATCAAGCCATTCTTGAGCTCTTCCAATTAGATAAAAGGGAAATATTTTAAGCCTTATGAATTCTTGAGCAACCCCGTTCACCTTAATTGTGTTGCAATATTTCTCGAATCCTTAAGATGATTGAGCAAACTTTCATTTGTTCCTTCACTATATTTTTGCCTTTCAATCGAAGTTATCATGGTCGACTTGATTTCAAAGTCACTTTTCAAGATTAATAATGGAGCAATTCCGCTCTCATACTTGTATGCACCTGAAGTGCCCAACTCCCTCAATGTTATCCTTGGGACTTCTCCCATGTTCACTTGCACAAACAATCCCAAATGAAATTATTAGTAGCACGGATACAAATGTAGCCTAAAAGAAAAATCTTTTTGTATTTTTGAATTCAAATGAAATCCACTCAACAATAATAGCAAACAACTATGCCATTCCCCGGCAACGGCGCCATTTTGATTACGGGTGGAGACTAGGTCGTTGGACTAATCTTCCCTAGGCCAAACAAAATTTATATCACTCAATACACCCTTATAACTAGTATAGGGTTAAGTAAAGGATCGAACCACTAGGAATGGGAGGTGGTCACTATTGCTAGAGTTAAGTTATTTCGAAGAGGTAAAGTAAGGTGTGTGTACTCTAAAACAACTAAGAGAACGAGATTAAAAACAAATATATCAAACACTAGGGTTTGGGATCCACATATACGTTCAATGAATACAACTAACCGGGATTGGAATTGACTATGTTGAGTGTTGTGAGGGAAAATCAATTAGGCAATCAAGAGAGTATGATAAGATATTCTCCAAGAGGTCAAACTAGCATCAAGTACAAGAGAATCTAGCAAGGGAATTTACCACCAACTCAATCGACAAATGCAAGCCACAAATCAAATGTTCGTATCAATGTGAACTTACAATGCAATCTAGTGCAACAATAAAAGTTAGCTACTCTTCAATCAATCACACACATGCATATAATCAATCAACCAATTTAATCACTACATCAACTTGTAGACACCCATTTGTGTCTCCCCAAAACCAAACCTGGTGATGAGTACCTTTCACGTCGAATCATAATCGGATGAAACGAAAGTGTGGAAAGGTCTAGTGTTGCGGAAAGTTTTATTTTTTTTCTCTTCTCCCTGTTTTGGAAAACTTTATTTTAACAAAACAGCCAATCCAGTTTGGTTGGTCCATTATATGGGTCTAATAATGGTATAGTTGGATGGGGCTTGCAAAGACCTTTCCAACGATATATTATAAGCCCAATTCCGATGAATATTGAGGAAGTTATGGCCAATTTACTAAACTGGGCCCGGTTTGAGATTTATGTACGGCCCAATGATCTAGGGGAGGGCCTAATATGATTTATCATTCCTAATGAAATTAGGAATGGTTTTAGTCTTCTAGAATCTTCTAGAAGGTTCTTTTCATTCCTAATTCAATTAGCATTGATAAGTTTACTTTGTTGACTTTTCAGAGTTTTAATCAAGATCAAATAGCATTTTCGAAGAAATTATATTATTTTATCTTCCAGTACGGTAAATTTATCAGATTTTCAAAAACGCGTTGAAATCCAGTTTGGCGTCCAACCCCAGGCCTTGGCGCCTGGAATCAGGCTTGGCGCCAAGCGCTAGCCATTGGCGCCTGGCGCTAGCCATTGGTGACTGGCGCCAGCTAGCCAGGGTTGGCACCAACCTTTTTTTGCGTGCGTCAGACTCTGTTTTGTTAAATTATCTTTTTTGGCTGATTTTCTCTATAAATATCGTATTAAAAACTCCGTTTTCATGGACAAATTCATCATCTACATTCACCAATTCTCTCATTCTCAAGTATTCTTTAGCATTCAATTCTTTCTTGCTTTTTCATACAAAATTCCGCATTCACAAGATCTAGATACACCTAACCATATTCGAAGTTGCCTTCGCCCTAGACGTGAAAGGTTTTAATTTCTGAGGGTTTGGTCCCAAATCTCTCTTTTCAGTTATTTAATTTAATTGTTTTGATTATTATTTTTCTTGAAGTTACTAACGTGTGTATTTTGTTATTAGAAAGAGGTACGAGGCATCAAAGTAAGTACTTTATTGATTAATTAATATTATGATGTAGAAATCATGTTTACATTGTTATTATGATTCCTAGTATCATGTCTAGGTTAATTTTAATGTTAAATATGATTGTTGTGATGCTTCCTATGCTCTTCCTAATATTTATGATTGTTAGTATCATGTTAGGGTTAAAGATTTGATTTTTATTGCTTAGTGACATGCTAGGGTTTGTTATTAATCTTGTTAGTATCATGCCTAGGATCTTGCTATTTTTATTATGCTTTAATATTAACGTGAACATGATTATGATTATAATTGTTATAATTTATTATTATTTTGATGAGGATTATTTTATTTATGATTATTATTATTATTATTATTATTATTATTATTATTATTATTATTATTATTATTATTATTATTATATGATTATTATTATTCTTCATGATTATTATTGATTATGTTGCTTGATACATTATTTATTCTTTATTGCTTGATCACACCTTTGATGCATGTTTAAAGGGAATTGGTACTTGTAATCATGCTTAATAAGATAATTAATAATCTTGTTTAGGGTTAATATGATTATAAATTCAAGTGATCGCCAATAATAGTTTATTGGTGCATTATATTCAACCAACATAGATAAACAGGTTTAGGGTTAATCCTATTGATTGCATGTTAATAAAAAAGCGCACATGAATACGATCAGAATAAAGTAGAGGCCTATTATTAGGGCTGGTTCAATCTCTTTTAGGTTGGATTTGTACCTTCATCCCCGAACCCTTATTTGGTTCATGACCTTATGAATTTGACGATCTCTTGGATCGTTAAGGGGTGTAACCTTCATCCTATGAACGGTTTACAAGTTCCTTAAAAACTTGTTGGCGACTCTTTTGCTCTATCTTCTTCCCTTTTGGACGCCACTGTACTTTAGTGTATGATCACAGTGGGGTTCAAGCTAGTGGGATTTTAAAGGCTTGAATTTATTCCTTACAGTTTTTGGCGACTCCACTGGAGAGGATTTCTATTTTAATTCCTGAATTTGTTTCGGCAATGATTTAGAATGAGTGGATGAGACTCGAAAAGTTCTAAGTATTTCATGTGCGTAATTTTGATTAACATTATTGTCATATGCATAAAAAGGTTCTCATTGGAAAGACCATCTGTAATGAGTCAAAAATATAGGATTTTACACGTAGGAAATTTGGGAAATGTCTTTCACAACTAGGACTGAAATAACACCGCGCAAAACTGGAAGATTTTATTAAGCACAGAAAGCTACTGAGGCATGTGGGAAGTAGCTTCAGGGGCCAGAGCTTGGCGCCACACTTTTAGCCGTAGCGCCAGACGCCAGTATTGGCGCCAGATGCTACAGTTAAAAGTTGGCGCCAGTCTCTGTTTGCTGGTGCCAATATTCCCCAATACCGAGCCAGAAATATGCGTTCTAATTTTGACCTGTTTTTCGTATTATTTGCTCGATCCTACTTTCTGATTGAATTTTTTCTCACTTTTCTGAAACCCATATGTGTTCTACATATGGACATAACCCTCTGGGAATTCATGATCCATCTTCCCGATTGAACGCTCCTGGCAACAAAGGGTACATCCGAGATGTTGAATTCACCAAACCATGGAAGTGAGTTTTTTCTAAAACTCGCGGTGTCCCATCCACTCGCGCCAACCCTTCACGGTTAGGCTTCCGCGCGGTGCATCCGGACAATTAACCATGGACCCTCTATTGACTAAACCATATCCCGAACTTTAGATAACTAGAGCCATGGTTAGGTTGCGAACTCATTGCATCATATTGTGCCTAC